TGCTCTTCGGCGGCCTCCAGTCTCGCCTCAGTACAAATAGCGGCCAATTAAATACTAAAACGCCGATTTCAGCAATTTTCGAATATGTAATATCATATTATTTTTATACCTACTCCACAGTATTCCTGCCGCAAACCTTCGAGAGAAGAAATTACTTAGTATTATATCTATTTAATATTTTCCTGTCTGACACTCTCTCTTCACCTACTCGAACGGATTAATCTATCGGGTCGACGTACTATACCATACATCATCTATCTAAAAGAGGTCCATCACTTCCACCCTAACGACTCCGATCAGCTACCCCCAGCACGAATCTGAGAGAAGGAGTTTCTCGAGTGGAGACGCGGCCCCTACGTCTACGATTGTACCCCTCTGCCTCTGATGTACATACCTCCGACTCTGAGCAGGCTGTAGGCTATGAAGGAGCCTTAACTTAGGCTCAGACTCAGGTGGTGGTTAAAGAGTCTAACTTTCACAGACCTAGTCTGCCACTTCAGCTATTCCTTCCAGTTCCGGGCCCACGCGCGTATCGTCGGAAACCGCAGTTGACCTCGTCTCTTCTTCCTAACAGGCATCCTACATTTGTCATGCCTTGAGGTCCCGCGATGGACAGTCAAACCTGTGTTGCACGCGACGGTATCGATACATACTATTCGTCTCTCTGCGAAACTCTATTCTTGCGAGTCGACAGCACTCTCCCTTACTGACCATAACTAGCTGAGTACAGACCCGCTTACGTCGTAACAAGACCGTATTAATGACACCAGATAACAGTGACGCGCAGCGTCAACAAACCTCCTCGGAGATCTATGTGAGAAGAGGTCTAACGTCTAGAATCACCTGCCCGCGTAGCTCTGACGCAAATGTCGGCCCTGAGTGTGATGACTAGGTTCGACGCGCCTCTGTCATATGTAGTGTCCCGGGGCGACCCTAATGTTCAACAATGTAATATTTTCTTCTCATGAAAGAATGAATTGCGTCTACGTTCTTGTTGACAAGTTACATCTGGAGTGTACGTAAGTGCATATGTTACCTAACGTTGCTCCACAAGGTGAGTACAACCCGCCGTGTTAACGTTAATTTATTGACGTAATCAGGCGGAGAAGAAGTCCAGGTGCGTATACTCAAGCAAGTACATACTTCATATGAAGTTGATACGACCACAAGAAGTCTTGAATCTTTCTGATTGTACCAGTATATTAAGTTTCGAATATCTTGGAAGTGGGGAGCACACGACAGATACCACATTTCAAGATAGGGAGGGGGGATACGTTACGATAAGTATTGGGAAAGATAATAGCTAGACTAGAGAAATCGATTGTGTTGTTCTGATTTTCATTTGTATTTAATTTATATGTATTAAATAATAGAATAATCAATACAAATTGACACAGAGTAATTCCATAAATTTATTTTTTTAAAACGAACATTTACATTTTCCCCTGGAGCCAAGGTGTGGCAGCTGCCATACCTTGCCATACCCAATTGACGCCTCTGCTCCAGAGCAAGTCGGACCAAATGACTAACCATCATGCAACGCACGAGCAAGACGTTGATCGAAATTGCGCAGGTCTGCGCAGGTCTCGCTTGTCTCAAACAAGCCTAGAGATGCAGCGTGTCTGTGAGGCCCCTCCCCCCGCACGCAGGTGAGAGAGAGAGAGAGAGATCTCTTTTAAAATATATTGAAAGTTAGAAACGGAGATGGTTACATAAAATGTGCTAGATAACATTACATTACATTACACTGCATTTAGCTGACACTTTTATCCAAAGCGACTTACAATAAGTGCATTCGACCAGGAAGATACAACCTTGAAGTATCTTTATAATCTCTTTTCTCTTTATTTGTTTTTACATGTTGTTATGTGACTTGTTTGTTTAATCTTGTACGATTGTTTGTGCGACGTACGTTCTGTTAGAAATGTTATTTTTGTATGTCTCTTCTATGTCTGGTGTCTGACTTGTGTTTTCTTTTAGTCTGTCGTCTCAGATATGTATAGTAGTATGTGTTCTGAGGATGTCTATTAGCTAGTGCGTGATCTGATTGTTTATCGTTATATGGGAGGGTACCTGATCTTTCCTGTATGACGTTACTACTGTTTAGTGCTGTGATTATGCGTTATTGTATAGTGTCTCTGTCTGCTGAGTCTTAGTATTAGATATGTTGAATGTTTGTAAGAGGTTGTTGGTGTCTTTGTATCTGATGGAGGTCTGTATTGGTGATAGTTGACTTGAAGGTCATTTGTATCGATCTTAGTGAAGTTTCTGTTTGCCATGTAATCGTTATTGGTTATATATGTATCTTGTTTTATCTTCTAGACGTTTTTGTTATTGTAGGCCTGTACTCTTTTAAATTGGCTATGTGTTGTGTTGTGTCTTTGTTGTGAGAGAGGCGATGTCTGTTAGTGTGTGTTCGGAGTCTACGTGCGTGATCGTCTCTCCTCTCTCTGGTGTTCTTGATAGGTGTAGTTCCTGTTTTTTTGAGGCCCTCTGTTAATTTGTTATAGTGATCTTCTCGCTGTATGTGTTATCCACCTTACTTTTCTGTAGGTGTAATTTATGTTTCTCGTCTGTTCTTTTTCGATGAAGGCCGCGTCTTTTGATCTTTTGTAGTAGAGAATATTCTGTTATGGTTGTATATGTCTCGCTATACTTATGATATGTTCTGTTTGTATATATATGATTATTTCGACCGTATTTATAGATTTCGTTCATACTATTCGTGTAACTTATTTACTGAGTATTACTCTTTTTTTTGCTGACGACATGAATATAC